TCACAGAGTAGGGTAGACAACTCCATTCAGAGACACTTACGTATACATGATATATTTTTGTTGTATGATATCAGTTTATTGTATCCATAGCATATCTAATCATATACATATAACAATATACCCATTTTGGCAGTCTAACAGAACCATAACCTATCACTTTCAAAGTATATATATTCACATATGATGAAGAACTATATTTCAACTTTTTTGTGCTGTACCTTATATAGTAACTCCGCCTGGAGTCCCTCCGAGGGCTACTGCCGGTCCCAAGCCAGGATAAAGGAGGAGAGTCGGGAATGGGGTTAGCGTCCCCATCCCGTAGAAAACCAACTCGCTAAAAAAACGCTAACCGGAAAAAATTATTCAGATCTTTTAAACTCTGCCCTGGGAGTCAGAAGGTCTTCATTTAGAAGAATTATGACGCCTCATGGTGAAATCAGAGTTCCTTCGGAAGTTACGAGGCCGATGCCTCTTCTGACAACCAGAGCGACCATTTATTTAGGTACATGGAATGTTCGTACAAAGTAGGACACCGGGAGAGTCTTCCAAATTGCTGCAGAAATGAGAAGATACAACCTAGAGGTACTTGGGATCAGTGAAACACATTGGACACAAGTCGGACAACAACGACTAACTACAGGAGAGCTCCTGTTATACTCCGGCCATGAAGAAGAAAATGCACCACATACACAAGGAGTTGCATTGATGCTGTCCAAACAAGCGCAAAATGCGCTTATAGGATGGGAATCTCATGGACCAAGGATCATCAAAGCCTCGTTCAAAACAAAGAAAGAGGGCATTTCAATGGACATCATCCAATGCTATGCGCCTACCAACGACTACAATGAAGACGCTAAAGATCAATTCTACAATAGGCTGCAGTCAATCGTCGAGAAGTGCCCAACGAAGGACCTGACCATTCTGATGGGAGATTTAACGCCAAGGTTGGAACGGACAACACTGGATATGAAGACATCATGGGACGACACGGACTGGGAGAAAGAAACGAAAATGGTGAGAGATTTGCAGACCTATGTGCCTTCAATAAACTGGTCATAGGCGGCACCATATTCCCACATAAACGCATACACAAAACCACATGGACTTCACCGGATCATTCTACACAAAACCAAATCGACCATATTTGCATCAACAAAACGTTCAGGAGGACTATAGAGGACGTGAGAACCAAGAGAGGAGCTGATATAGCATCAGATCATCACTTGCTGGTCGCCAAGATGAAATTGAAACTCAAGAAGCACTGGACAACGAGGAGGACAATATCACAAAAGTTCAATACGGCCTTTCTTCAGGATACTGACAAACTCAATAAATTCAAGATAGTCCTCAGCAATAAGTTCCAGGCCTTTCATGATCTACTCAATGGAGAAGGAACTACTGTGGAGAGCAACTGGAAGGGGATCAAAGAGGCAATCACTTCAACATGTCATGAGGTCCTGGGTCACAAGAAGCACTATCACAAGGAATGGATCACTGTTGATACACTGGATAAGATTCAAGAAAGAAGAAACAAGAAGGCAGCGATCAATACCAACCGAACAAGAGCAGGAAAAAGCCAAGGCACAAGCTGAATACACGGAAATAAACAAACAAGTGAAGAGGAGCATCAGAACCGACAAACGTAAATATGTGGAAGATTTAGCAACGGCGGCGGAAAAGGCTGCAAGAGAAGGAAACATGAGACAATTGTATGACACGAAAAAGAAACTCTCTGGGAATCGCCGCAAACCAGAACGACCAGTGAAAAGCAAGGAAGGCGAGGTAATCACCAACATTGAAGAGCAACAAAACAGGTGGGTAGAACACTTCAAAGAACTCTTGAATCGACCAGCTCCACTGAACCCACCCAACATCGAAGCAGCACCCACGGACCTCCCAATTAATGTTGGTCCACCAACAATTGAAGAAATCAGCATGGCCATCAGACAAATCAAGAGTGGCAAAGCAGCAGGACCGGACAACATCCCAGCAGAGGCACTAAAAGCAGACGTAGCGGCAACTGCAAGGATACTCCACATTCTCTTCAATAAGATTTGGGATGAGGAACAAGTACCAACAGACTGGAAAGAAGGACTCCTGATCAAAATACCGAAGAAAGGCGATCTCAGCAAGTGTGATAACTACAGGGGCATCACTCTTCTCTCAATACCGGGAAAAGTCTTCAACAGGGTATTGTTAAACAGGATGAAGGACTGCGTAGACGTCCAACTTCGTGACCAACAGGCAGGATTCCGTAAGGATAGATCGTGTACAGACCAAATCGCAACTCTACGGATCATTGTGGAACAATCAATTGAATGGAATTCATCACGCTACATCAACTTCATTGACTACGAAAAGGCATTTGATAGCGTGGACAGAACAACACTGTTGAAGCTTTTTCGATACTACGGCGTGCCTCAGAAGGTTGTCAATATCATACAGAACTCATATGATGGATTACACTGCAAAATTGTGCATGGAGGACAGTTGACAAAGTCGTTCGAAGTAAAGACCGATGTTAGGCAAGGTTGCTTACTCTCACCCTTTCTCTTTCTCCTGGTGATCGACTGGATCATGAAGACGTCAACGTCTGAAGGAAAGCGCGGGATACAATGGACATCTTAGATGCAGTTGGATGATCTTGACTTCGCAGACGATCTGGCCCTTCTATCCCAAACGCAAAAACAAATTCAGGAGAAGACGAACAGTGTGGCAGCAGTCTCAGCAGCAATAGGTCTCAATATACACAAAGGGAAAAGCAGGATTCTCCGATACAACACAGAATGCACCAATCCAATCACAATTGACGGAGAAGATTTGGAAGATGTGAAAACCTTTACATATTTGAGCAGCATCATTGATGAACAGGGTGAATCTGATGCAGATGTGAAGGCGCGGATCGGCAAAGCAAGAGCAGCATATTCACAACTGAAGAACATCTGGAACTCAAAGCAACTCTCAACCAACACCAAGGTCAGGATTTTCAATACAAATGTCAAGACAGTCCTGCTGTATGGGGCAGAAACCTGGAGAACTACGAAAGCCATCATCCAGAAAATACAGGTGTTTATTAACAGTTGTCTACGCAAAATACTTCTGATCCATTGACCGGACACTATTAGCAACAACGTACCGTGGGAGAGAACAAACCAGATTGCAGCGGAGGAAGAAATCAGGAAGAAGCGCTGGAAGCGGATAGGACACACATTGAGGAAAGCACCCAACTGTGTCACAAGACAAGCCCTCACATGGAATCGTCAAGGCCTAAGGAGGAGAAGAGGAAGACCAAAGAACACATTACGCCGAGAAATGGAGATAGACATGAGAAAAATGAACAAGAATTGAATGGAACTAGAAAAGAAGGCCCAGGACAGAGTGGGTTGGAGAGTGCTGGTCGGCGGCCTATGCTCCATTGGGAGTAACAGGCGTAAGTAAGTAACCTTATATAGTGTTCAGATGTTACGGTCCACATAATTCCTGGATTTTCTAGTTTAATTCAGACTTCACTCTAACACTCAAAAACATAATCATACATGATGAGGCACCATGCTGTAGACTTTGTACACAATTTTATACACTATCCTTTAAATTGTATTTGGATGCTATAACTCACTTTCTAGAATTATCAGGTCAATTCGGTGAGTCTATCATAGTTTTCGGTCAGTACGTTTACCTAAAAATACCGTTTCACAAATTTCCATATAGTACCAGTTCTCTTTAAAACTGCGTATCTCTGTAACCTTCAATTTTAACTAATGTTCATGTATATATATATATATATATATATATATATATATATATATATATCTGTTCCAAAATCGTTTTCGCTTATATGCTTGCTTATAAGTGTATATTTCTTATTTTTCAAAAAATAATTTCTCGAAAATCGTTTTTACGCTCTTGTATGTTTACAAAACGCGTGTATATGAGTTTATTTCCCTTTTTCACCTTTTTCTGTCTCTCTACACAGGTGCGAGTTTAATTCGACATGCAATTATTTATCCTTTTTATTTTTCAGTACGGTTGGAAAAGATGAGAATAGAGAAAGTTTACAATGAATCGAAATTTTCATTGTACCTGTTTTTCATTAATATATTGTACCACATGGCCTTTTATAATAAGGAGAGACGACCAGATGCTGCTGAACATAGCAAGCGATTAGAAGAGTGTTTATCAACGACAAGCTCATTGTGTTTAAACTTCTGGCTGGCCACGCCAAGGGATCATCACTACCTCATCATGGGGGTGACCTCCGAAATCAATCGCTCCGTAGGTCTTTGAAATTTGACGCTGGCCACTTTAGTTTTTATGGAACCCCCTACCCGAAGGCGCTCGTTCATGCATCCGAACGAGATCAACTTCTCCTTCAATCGCTAGGCAGCTTAGATCAGTCACTCCTCGATATATTGTTAGCGTATCAAATATATCTTCGAACCTCTCCGCTCCTGGCTTTTTATTTCACTGGGTGAGCACGATTCAATTATAGGTGTGATTGTTTAAAATGTTGTCAAAATCTAAATTCTTGTGGCATCTTCACATGCAGCGGTGAAACCGAAAGATACAAACCCAAGAAACACTAACATTGAGAAGAATCGAAAACGCAAAAGCAATTATTGGACCCCAGTAGCTGTACCGTGCTTCTACGTATGCCTCTTTTCCAGAAGGGCCTACCGGTTTCACCAACTTCGCTTGGCCGGAAGGGCCATGATTCAAGTTAATTGAGAATACTTTTTGATGACAAACCAACGATTTGATGTCTCTAGGTATATTTGTATCGTTAACTGATATTTTAAAAAATCTGTTATTCATAAAATAATTACTAAAAACGTAAATCTAGACCAAAACACTTTTTGTTGTTGTATTAGTTAGGACTACTCAGGTATTGGGCATTGGATTGCAGCGCACTTTCCAGTTTTTCTGCGTTGCACGATTTAGTCAATCTTCAGTGTAACCCTCTGCCCATTCTTTCATCTTGAGAAGTAACAAAGGTTGGAGGGATGATAGAACCATCGGTAAATCCACGCAATTTTAGCGACTCCTTACATGATACTAGTCTTCAGGATGGGAAGTTTTTAAAGAGCCCAAGGGTTTTATTAAAATCATTGAAGTTGTATGTTATTCATATTTTTCATTATATCGTAATAGCTTATAGCAATCTTTGCGTTTGCAACGACGTGTGACTTCTCAACCAATGTCAAGCTAAAGTATGACTGTCGGGGTAACGGATCTTTTGAGCATTGGAGTGCCAAATTTACATACCCTTTCAAGTAATCCCTCAGGTTTTTCACTTCTTTTTAGTATTGACTCCATCGTGCTGCCTCGATGCATTGCTATGGAGAGTAAACATATGTATGGGAATTTCGCCTCAGCAGCACAGTTTTATGTGTTTGTTGGTGTCCTAACTATGCTTTTCTGCGTTGCTATGGGCGTCTATTATGTCTATTTTCATGATCGCTATTTCACTGACTCACGGTTTAGTAAATACGTAAGTTCTATACACCACTCTACATATATAATAGGAATTCATCTTCTCGACTGTCATTGTTCTGTTATGGTTTATCGCCTCTTGTGCATGGGCCGATAATGTAAACCAGTTTAAAACGTATACGTCAGCAAGTCGGATCTGCAATGAAGTGGGACCTAATGTGCATTGTGAAGCCGAGGAACAAGCTACCTATGGGGGACTTAACGTTTCTCTGGTAATGATTATTCACTTTTTGTTGGTTATATATTTAACTGTTTATACAACAGTGAAGAAAAAATATTCTTGTTTATCAGTTTGGTATTAATATTAGTACTCACGGTTTAGTCATTTCTCTTTGCTTACTAGTTGTCTTGTTGTGGATGTAGATTCCGTTGAGCAGTTAGTGGAATTCGCTGCAAAAGATGAGTAAGGAATCGTCTGTTCAGATATGATCAGGAAAACATTTTAAAAGCTGACCCGCTTAATCACAGTCCTTATTGCCAAGTTGTATGCTGAAACAAACTGGTTCTTCGGTAACTTTTTATATTTGGCGTTAAAAACTATTTTGAAAGATGTTTTGATCTTGTCTGGGTATATGCTTGAAGGTTTGCTAATTTATTCTATTTAGACTTCGTAATTTAGCTCAACTTTAAAGTACCTTCCATAAAGTCATGTGAAAACAAACTGTTTACCGAAAGTGAGTTTTTTAATGGTTGCTTAGGTTGATCCCATCATTCTCTTTAGCACTTTTCAATGTCGTAACAAACTTTCTTTGAAAATTTAGGATTAGGGAAGACACTTAACTCTAGATTAGTATTTTGATGACTAAATCTTAAGGTTCAGAGAACGTTACTCATTTGTTGTTATTGTTCTGAATTATAAATTTTTCCTACTACTAAACTAAATGATTCAAACCCTTGTACCATAAAATGTTAATTGGTAGTTCAGACGGTTGTTACTCAACAAAATATATATCAAAGTGTGCAGTTGTTCGGATTGAGTAATACATGTTCCATCCATCCAAACTAGTTTTTCACGTCTGGAAATTGTCATCTGAGTAACACAAAATATTAAAAAAGCCTTTTTTGGATATTGGCTATTTTCCGGTTATGGAGAGCAACATTAAAAAGCTACTTTCAAAGTCGTGAGGTCCTGTTCCTTCTGCACTCCAATTTTTCCTTTGATAAAATTTGAGTAAACCGGTATTCTTCGTTAGCCCCTTAAACTAGACAGGTATCTGATAAACAGCTGTCCACCTGTACTCGCTGGACATTGAGTATCTTGTGTAGACAACTGTTTATAAATATCAGTATGGGGGTTGTGGAGATTGTTAAGTTTTTGGTTGAGATCATGAATTAATTGATGTTAGACCACCGTTGGAAACCTGGAAGCACTGGACGGCCGTTTCGTCCTAGTATGGGACTCCTCAGCAGTGCGCATCCACGATCCCGCAACCCGCGGGATTCGAACCCAGGACCTACTGGCTTCGCGCCTGAGCACTTAACCATTAGACCATTGAGCCGGCATCCAATGGTGTTAGTGTCTAACATCAACCAATCCACGAAATTGCGCGACCACCTTCCATTGTACTGAGGTAGATACCTGTCTCTACCCGACACGGATTAGCTCCACTGGTCACGACTTCTCACTAGAACTCCGAGAATTCCCTCACGAAGCTAGTCACTAGTGAGCACATGTTAATTATCAGTATGGGGGTTGTGGAGATTGTTAAGTTTTTGGTTGAGATCATGAATTAATTGATGTTAGACCACCGTTGAAAACCTGGAGATGTTTATAAATACTTTTACTGTTTTGATGATAGTTGTAGTAGTTCAATAATGTGCAAAACAAATATCAATGCGAAAAAGGCGTAATGATAATATACAAATAAGAAGACGGTAAAAATAGAAAAGTTATGTTGTGCATTGGATGAAAAAACAATAACCATCATGTAATGAATGTTACTTAAAAGTTCCTTTTTGGGTAACTCACAAATGGAGTTCACTCAATTATTGAATATCATTGTACACAGTTCGTCCGGACAGAGTGAAGAGAAATATAAATCCACTAGCGTGATCAGGAAGTAATCCAGACCAACAGTCCCATTTAGTGAAGTGGTCCATAAGGGCAGTACAATACTATTATACTCTTCAGTCAAAGGCCGTGGCCAATGGACCAGGGAAGAGAGCGATGTAGTTAGTATTTGTTTGAATGCCGAAAGTGACGTAGGCATCAATTAAAAATCAACGATATCTACAACTCTTTATTGATATCAATTAATTACTAGTGAAGTCTATCCGCAATTGATAAGAATAAACAATATGCACATTACGTGCGTTCATCCGCTGACTATCTCGACAGTCAATGATGGCTGATATGGAAGTAGGTTGGAAGAAAGCTATGAGTGGCCAAATCAAGATATGGCAACAGTCCATGAAGACACTGACTATTGGACTGGACCATGTAAATAAGTGCGAACTCCTTGGTTGAGGTCCGTACGATTATCATAACCAGTAGTTGAAGACAGGTGACGTGGCTCAAAATTGGTTACAGTAGTACAGATGCACTTTCTCTTCCCTCAGATTTTATGTCTTAAAACTATCATACGTTGCCCGCAAAGTCATTCCTTTCTCCTCGAATCTCTTAGTTCTTTAAACTATTATCACTCTCACTATTCTTCGATTTGCCTTGACTATTTCATCTCTCTGTGCTAATAGAGTACAACAATTAGAACCGTCGCACAAATGTTCCAGGTTATGTTCTGCGTATAATTGACTGAGATGGTAGTACCCATAATATGCCGTGTAAGTATGGTTTTCATATGTGAAATAAGGAATACTCAAATGCAAAAATATCGCTTGAGGCCATCTTAATGATTTCAAATCCGGAACCAAAATTTTTTCAAAGTGATACATGATAGATTAATCCTTAACACTCATGTTAGGTGAACAGGATGATTCATCTTTAGGACTACGTTTTCATTGGTGAGTTATTTATGGATCTTGGTTTTTGGACTTCTAAATAAGTCATTATATAAGGCCTAATGCCTCTGCTTTACACAAATTTTAATCTTTGTATCTGAATTATACCAACCAATGAAGATCTACTTTGTAACTTTAATAATTCAGTATGTTTTTGTTAATTTATATAAATTAGATATTTGGGTTTACCAATGTTGCTCTATGGGCAGCTGGTTTATGGTTCATATGGAAAGAAACTCCATGGTCCGGAAATAATTCTCTACTTGGACCAGAAAATATCGCTACTGCTGCCGATGGGTCTCAAATGTAGTGCGCACTCCAACAAGTCTCCATGTACTGTTCTTTCAAGAATTAGATCAACTACATTATTTTGTGTGATGATAATGAGACAAACCCACTTGTAAATCACTCATTTATCAGTTGTTATTTCTATCCATATGTTTTCCCATTTAAATCGAAGCTAACAAACGAAATAGTGCATTTTGTTTGTTTCATTACTATAAGATTACTGCTTCCATTAATAAATTGTTCATGACTATGTCGATAATTATGTTACGGCACCAGTGTTTTTGAACTGAACATTTTCTTAGGTAAAATTTCATTTTCTATCATATCATTCTTTCTAAATACATTATTCAGGTAACGTTGTCCCGCTTTTTTGCCATGTCTTCATTTTGTTAAATGTGATGATAATTTTGTTGTTGTAATCGCTAATCAATCACATACATCGTCTGTATATCATAATAAATCAAACACAATTCAGATTATACTTCTGTATGTTGTAAAGCTAGTTGTAGGGTAACTCTGTATGTAGCTCTTCTCGGTTTAATATCGGTCCCAAGGTAGGGTGAGGTAGGAGGTTTGGGCATGGGGTCAGCAACCCCATCCCGTAGAAAAAATCTTGCTAAAAAAAAGCCAATCAGAATAAATAACTTAAACTATTTAAGCTCTGACATGGGAGTTGAAGGATCTTCATTCAGGTGAAAGCTGAGATTCTTCGGAAGTCACGAGGTTGATCCTCTTTCTAACAATCCGAGCAACAATTAATATAGGTACACAGAATGTCCGAACAATGTAGAAGACAGGAAGGACTAGTCAAGTAGCAACGGAAATGAGAAAATACAACTTGGTGGTGCTTGGAATAAGTGAAACACAGTGGACCCAAGCTGGACTGTAAGGGCTAGATACCGGTCACTAAGAAGAAAATGCTCCATATACTCAGCGTATTGCTCCGATGCTGACCAAAGAAACACGAAATGCACTTAAAGAATGGAAGTCTCATGGACTCAGTATCGTGAAAGCATCTTTCAAAGCAAAGAAGGGAATCACGATTAATGTTGTCCAGTTTTATGCACTCACCAATGATAGCCACGATGACATTAAAGATCAGTTCTATGTGAGTCTGCAATCAATCATAGCGAAGTTCCCCCGAAAAAAATATCTGATCATCCTGATGGTAGATTTAGACGCCAAAGTCGGAATGGACAACACCGATTATGAAGATATCATGGGACGATATGGACTGACTGGGAGTAAGAATTGAGAATGACGAGAGATTTACTTGTCCTCAGCAAAATGGTTATAGTTGGCACTGTATTACCCCATAAACACATACACAAGCTCCATGCGTCTCACAGGGTCACACCATTGAGAACCAGATCGACCATATCTGTATCATTAAAAAATTCAGCTGGTCGATGGAAGACGTGAGAACTAGGGGCGGAGTTGACATAGCTCCAGATCACAACCTGTTGGTTGCCAAGATGAAACTGAAGCTAGAGAAGCGTTGGACATTGTCGGAATAGCATTTCATCCTTCGAGATACTGACAAACTCAACCAATTCAAGACAGCTCTCAACAACAGTTTGCAAGCCTTACAAGATCTGCTGAGAGAACTAGTGTCGAGAACAACTGGAGAGGGATTAAAGAAGCGCTGGATTCAACGTGTTAGGAGGTGCTTGTCACAAGAAGCATCATCATAAGTAATGGATCTCTACGGAAACCCTGGATAAGATTCAAGATGGAAAGAACAAGAAGACAGCGATTAACAACAGCCGAACCAGAACAGAGCAAGTCAAGGCGCAGTTCGGATACACAGAAGTAAACGAGCGGGTGAAGAAGAGCACTGTAGCTGACAGGCGGAAATTCTCGGAAGAGTTAGCAACAACAGTGTCGAAAGCTGCAAGAGAAGGAAATATGAAACAGCTATATGACAACGAAGAAACTAGCGGGGAAATATAGTAAACCAGTACGACCAGTCAAGTACAAAATTGGCAGGACCACTACTAAGATTAAAGAACAGTGGAGCAGTTTGAGGAACTCTTGAATAGGCCATCTCCACTAAATCCACCGGACATCAAAGCAGCACCTACAGACATTACGGCCATCAGGACAGTGAAGAGTGGGAAAGCAACAGTACCTGAAAATATTCCAGTTGAAGTCAGACTTAGAAGTAACTGCAAACATGCTTCACGTTCTATTCAAGAAGGTTTGGAAGGAAGAACAAGTGCTGACAGACTAGAAGGAAGGAAACCTCATCAAAATATCAAAGAAATGAGGTTTGTGCAAGTCTGGGAACTA